ATTTCTTATACTTTCCACTATAATTATTTGTCCATTGTAAAAATTTAGAGCTTATATTCTAGTGGGAAAGAGAGATAAAGAAATAAGCCGGGCACTGGTGGCTTACACCTGTAATCCTAGCTACTCAGGAGGCTGAGATCTGAGGATCACAGTTCAAACCAGCCCGGGCAGGAAAATTCTGTGAGACTCTTTTTTTTTTTTTGGGTCCAGTCAAGGGGCCTGAACTCTGGGCCTGGGCGCTGTCCCTACCACTTGAGCCACAGCACCACCTCCGACTTTTTTCTTTTTGCTTATGTGGTGCTGAGGAATCGAACCCAGGGCCTCGGGCATGCAAGGCAAGCACTCTACCACTGAGCCATCTTCCCAGCCCCTGTGAGACTCTTATATCCAATAAATCACCAGAAAGCCAGAAGTGGCGCTGTGGCTTAAGTTGTAGAGTGCTTACCTTGAGCTGAAGAACTGAGGGACAGAGTCCAGGCCCAGAATTCAAGCCCCATGACCAACAACAACAACAACAACAAGAGAAGTAAAAAAAAAAACATAGGAATGATTGTTAGAATTTTTATTAATCCTTAGTCTAAAAAATGTGGAGCTATGCTCATTCTCATGGTCTAGACAGATTCAGTATCTTTCTGTATTAAAAAATAAAAAAGATTCAGGGTGCTGGTGGCTCATATCTGTAATCCTAGCTGTTCAGGAGGCTAAGATCTGAGAAGCAGAGTTCAAAGCCAGCCCAGGCAAGAAAGTCCGTGGGACATTTTTCTGTCAATCATGGGGCTTGAACTCAGGTCCTGGGCGCTGTCCCTGTGCCTTTTTGCTCCTAGTCTTCCAGATTTTGAAAGTTTTCTGGTGGTTAATTATACATAATAGTCTCACGGATAATAGTCTCACTGACTTTCCTGCCTGGACTGGCTTTGAACCCCAACCCTCACATCTCAGCTTCCTGAGTGGCTAGGATTACAGGTGTGAGGATTACAACCCCCAGCTCTATGACATTTTCTTTATCTTTGATCATACTCCCCCCCCAACAATGTTATCTGGGAAACTCATACAGATAAAAAACTAGCTATGTTAGGGTTCTGCAATTATACGCAGTAGGTTTAACCATGTAGCCCAGGCTGGCCTGGAACTCCTGATCCCACTGCCTCAGCCTCCCAAGGGCTGGAATTACTGGTGTGCACTACCTTGCCTTGATAGTCTCATTCTTTATGTGTTGTTAAATGACCTGGGGAAAGACTTCAGGTCAGACATCAGCTACAACAGTAGGGAGGTGGTCTCAGAAGCTGTAGCACCAGCTCTCCACCGCCAGTGATTCACTGGGATCCTGGCTACCCCTTGAATAGCTAAACTGACGGACCCTGTTTGTTTTCTGGCTAGTTCTCCGGGTTCCACTCTCCAGTTTTCTACTCTGCCACCTTGTGGATAAATTAGGAATTGCGTCTTCTAGCAAGATCTGTACACCGGGTTACCAACTATTGCTTTCTCTGGGAATGGGGAAAAGGAAAAGAGAACTCTCCCACAACTCTTCTTGTAGCACATCCTCCTGTTAGGATCATTATTTTTGGAATTCAGTTGAAATGCATGCTCTTCCAGTATCATAGCTAATGAGGCCTTCTCTATCTGACTGTGTACCAGCATCCATGGCTGTGATACAGGCTCACATCGCTAGCAACACTTTTCCCACCCACTGTAAAAGCAATTCAAGCACACTTAGGACTTACACCCCAGTGGAGGAAAGAAAAAAATACAAAGTTGATAAGTTTTGGGGAGTACTATTATGGACAACAATAAGGGTGGGGGTGAGGGAACTTAAGTTGGCTTGGCTGAGCAGGAGAAATTTCAAAATCTGGAAGACTAGGAGGAAGTGGTTATGAAAAGAGCATGTGCAAAGGTTCTGAGGTGAGACTGAGATTCATAAGTTGAAAGTAACTAAAGTGAATTAGAGGACAGTGGTCAGAGTAGAGTTGGAAAGAACAATAGGCACAAATAGCCCAGGGTTTTCTGTACAAGGAAGGACTGTGAGTTTTGTTCTGAGTTCAGTGGAAGGGCATCAAAGTCCTTATTCAGGAAGCCTCAGCTTCTAGAGTGTGCTCAGCTTACATTATAGAATGTGTGTGTGTGTGTGTGTGTGTGTGTGTGTGTGTGTGTGTGTCTTTAAACTCGGGCTTGAACTCAGGGCCTTGAACTCTTGCTTGGCTTTTTCATTCAAAGCTGGTGTTCTGTTACTTGAGCCACGGCTTTACTTTGGCTTTTTACTGGTTAATTGGAGAGAAGAGACTCTGGGATTTGTCTATCCAGGCTGACTTTGAACTGCAAGCCTCAGATCTCAGCCTCCCGAATAGCTAGGATTACAGGCGTGAGCCACTGGCACCTGGCTCATTATGAATTTTATTGAGCAGCACAGCACTGATATAGAAAGTTGCTAACTTAAAGACATATTCTTTTAGAGTAAAGTCATACTGCATACATTAGAATTTTCTAACTAGCTGTAAATTTTTATTTAATTTTTTATTGTTGTTCTCGAGGTGGTATACAGCCTGTTACTTGCTGTTACATTATTGGGTGATATATACACTTCTTTTGCTTAGTATCAGCTGTTCCCTCCTTCTCTCTCATTCCTTCCCTCCCATCACTGCCCTTGGGTTGCTTAGCTGTAGATTTTATTTTCAGAACATGGAAGATGTTTAATTGCTAAAACAGCATTGTTCTATCTAAGCCCAAAGAACAAAAGGAACAAAAATTTGAATCTACACATAAAAGTCCCAAGATACTGTATATATGTATACAGACATTCCTGAGCTAATGCTCCTAAAACTGTGTGTAGCGCTTGGAAAATATATGAAAACAAAAATGTGGCTAGCGGCAGAGTGCATAAAGCCAAACATCAAATTTTGAGCAAATTAACCAGTGAGATAGCTTTGTTCACAATACATGAGCCCCCCCCCACCCTTTTCTTGTTTACTACCCGTTCAGAATATCTCATACCAATCAAGCAGACAGGATGTGTTGGTTTAATATCCAGTTACACAGCATTTGCATAAACTCTGACAACTTTGGGTCAACTTTGTTTTCTTTTGAGCTGGCAAAGTGACCAGAGAATGACCAGATCATTCCTCTCTTTGAATGGAGAGTTTTATCCCTTAAAAAAAAGAAGCCACATCTTTTTTCACATCTTTTTTTTTGTGTCCGGTCATGGGGCTTGAACTCTGGGCCTGGGCGCTGTCCCTCAGCTCTTCAGCTCAAGTCTAGTGCTCTACCACTTGAGCCACAGTGCCACTTCTGGCTTTTTTCTTATGTGGTGCTGAGGAATGGAACCCAGGGCCTCATGCATGCAAGGCAAGTACTCTACCACTGAGCCACCTTTCCAGCCCCAGTAATAAGTATATTTCTTTTCTTTTTTTGGTCGGTTGTGGGGCTTGAACTCTGGGCCCTGGCACTGTCCCTCAGCTCTTCAGCTCAAGGCTAGCGCTCTACCACTTGAGCCACAGCACCACTTCTGGCCTTTTCTGTGGATGTGGTGCTGAAGAATCGAGCCCAGGGCCACAGGCATGCAAGGCAAGCGCTCTACCACTGAGCCACCTTCCCAGCCCCAAGAAGCCACATCTTTTGTAGACATATTTTTATAGTTGCTTAGTAATTTCTTCATGTGATGTTTACAGATAGATTTAAGGTCTATAGTATGTTGAGAATTTATTATCTCTATGTAAATAACCTTAAATTGGATGCAAGTCTGCTTGCAGTGCTATTGGCTGCATGCTGGATGAGGCCCCGCAAAAGAGCATGTGATGACTTTGACATTATGGGAGCCTGTGAGCTTTCTGTCACTATGACGAAATACTTGAGATGGTTAACTTACAGAGAAGAAAGGTTTACCTGGATGGTAGCTTTATGGGTTTCATTGTTCTGGGGTTCTGTGGTGAGGCAGCGCAGCATGGTAGGAACTGGCGAGGAAGCAAGACTGCTTATGTTAAGAGCTAGAGAGCAAGAGCAGGAGAGAGAGGCCAAGGGTTTCCCCCATGGACTCCACACTTTAAAGACAAGGGGCTGGGAAGGTGGCTCAGTGGTAGAGCGCTTGCCTTGCATGCCTGTGGCCCTGGGCTCGATTCCTCAGCACCGTATCAACAGAAAAGGCCAGAAGTGGTGCTGTGGCTCAAGTGGTAGAGCACTATCCTTGAGCTGAAGAGCTGAGGGACAGTGACCAGGCCCAGAGTTCAAGCCCCATGACCGACCAAAAAAGAAAAACAAACCATACAAGGTGACTTTACGATTCACTAAAATATCACTGTCTCCCAACACTGTCACTGTGGAGACTCCACCAGTAACACAAACCTTTGGGGGGCGTTCCACATCATGCTTGGCATGAGGCATTATGGGAAGAGAAAATGTGGGCGGTCTGTGGACAGAAGCCTTAAATTCTCCTTGGTCATCCATTAATGGAGACTCTCGGATTTGATTTCACCCCTCTGGATCTCATGTTCCTTATTGGTAAGCAGGTGGAGAATAGTGAGTGGTCATGGCTACCAGGAAGTTCAAGCTTATCCCTCATCCTTACCTGGGTCCCACAAAGTAGTAAACTGACATCTCCATTCACAGAGGAGAAAACAGAAGCTCGGAGAGGCAAAGGGATGTGCCAAAAGTTATGCTGTTGGGAGGAGTGAAGCCAGGATCTGAACCCAAGTCCCAAAGTCTATGTTTGGAGGAAGATACTGGGAGTTTGAGTTCAGAGTTTTGCACTGGTTATGCTGGAGCCAGAAACCAGGTCCTGAGTTCAAGCCCCAGGACCGGCAAAAATTTTTTCCTAAATGACATCAATATGCAAACAAGAAGATAAACCAAAGCTGCAGAGAAACACTCATACACAAGCATAGAATGTACTGGAGTGTTTACAGGAGATGAATATCACACTCAGCTTTCTCAAGTCAAGTTCCAGAAGTCATATGACCTAGGGATCATTTCCTGCCTCCGGATGAAAAATTTACAGGAATTCAGAGGAAAATATTTTGGCGGTCATTACTACAAAATTGAGTCAGCTCCACTTAGCATCACGCAGCAAACCCTGTTAGTGAATGCCGGAACGAGCATTGAGCCTGACGGGGCTTCTTTCAAGTAGGCTGGCTCAGCCTGGAGGACCCGGTGAGCCGCAGGTGGAGCAGGCCCTTCAGGATGGGGAAGTTGGCAGCTCTTGTGCTGGCTCTGGCCCTGCTGCTTCTCTTCTCAGGTGGGCTTTCCTGAAACAGCCTCATTCTTTGCTAACGTGAAAACTACAATACTAGTCATTAGGTATCTTTCAAATCATAGGGAGGATAGATTGGGTAGGTATTTTAATGCTTTTTCTTTTCCTTGTAAGGGCAGGCTTCTACGATTACTCTCATTGGAAAAAGAAATACTTAAACGAGCTAGGTGCTGGTGGCTTACACCTGTAATCCTAGATAATCAGGAGGCTGAGATCTGAGGATCACCGGTTCAAAGCCAGCCCGGGTAAGAAGGTATATGAGGCTCTTATCTCCAATTAATCAGCAAAAAAACACCTGGAAGTGGTATTTTGAGTTTTAATGATCAAAAATGATGATAAATCTTCAACTCTTTCTTCTTTTACAGTTTGTATGAGATCAGCACAATTTGATTATTTTTAATATGTTAATATTTTAAGCATTTTCATGTGATTACCAAAGGCAATGTAATTGTGTGTGTATGTGTGTGCGTCTGTGTGTGTGTGTGTGTGTGTGTGTGTGTGTATGCTGGTGCTGGGGCTTGAACTCAGGACCTATCACGCAAGACTGACACTCTACCACTTGAATGATGCCCCAGCTTTCAGCTTTTTGGTGGCTAACTGGAGATAAGAGTCTCGTAGACTTTTCTGCCCATGCTGACTTTGAATCTCAATTTTCAGATCTCAACTTCATGAGTAGCTAGAATTACAGGCACGAGCCACTGGCATCCAATGACAATTTTATTATTATGTTTTCTCTAAAGGAGTATGTATAATATGTGATTTTGTGTGTTTGATGATTAGGTTTAACCTATCTTATTGACACTGAGTATCTTCCAGCAATGACTTTAAGCTATATTTTGTCTATTGAAGAGTTAAAAAGAAAAATCTTACCAGAGCAAACCTAAGAGAGAAGAGAACTGAAGAAAATACTTTGTTTGTTTTTAAACATACTCATTAATGCATGCCTCCTCTCCCGGGGCGGGGGTCATTGTAGTAGGTGAATAGATTCAAATTGTGTAGCTTTTGCTCTGCGTTAACTGTATTAGAAACAACTTAAAATTTTCCGAATCCTCAGGAATGCTATGTCCTTTGGGGGAGGTTTTTGAGAAAGCACTTTGGTGCTGGAACAAAACTGGAACTTGCAAATATCCTTTGTGTTGATCTGAGGCAAAGGAGCCTGAACTCCTTTCCTGACTTTTGCAGAGGCCTCGCCAATTCTATCGGAAAAGCAGGCCAAACAGCTCCTGAGATCCCGGCGGCAGGACAGACCCAGCAAGCCGGGCTTCCCTGATGAGCCAATGAGGGTGAGTGCACGGCCCTGGGCCTTTTAGAGAAAAAGACTGTCACCTGAATGCTCATTCATTCTGAAACAAAAGTGGGTGCTGGTGGGGTGCAACTTGACCTTCTTTTCATTTTTCTCCCCTGGAAATTCTAACTCCTCTCAACTGCCAGAAACAAGGTATTTACAACAGACGTAGTTGAGTTGAGCTGTTTCACTGGAAGTTGCTTTAACCTGAAGTCAAGAGGAAACAAATGTGGTTAAAAACATGGACAGTATAAGGTCCTGCAAGGAGGGGAGCCTTTGGATCTATAGCAATCGCAGGTGGGAGGGAGGTGTGGGTGGATTTCCTCTCAGTGGGAAGGCAGGCAGGCATGGATGTCAGGTAGCCATGCTTGTGAATGATTTCCCTTCAACTTCCGAGTGTTAGCTAGTTTTGAAAAGGCAACCATAAATGACTCCATTTTGATTCTGATAGGAACTGTTTGTGTGTGCATCTCTGCCTAGTTCAGGGATAAGTGTTGTGGAGTCTCTTCTCATTACTGGGATGAGGTGTCCCACTGGGCTGATCCCATATTGGAGGGGGGATGGTGAATCTGTGCCTGTAAGAGCCTTTTTTTTTCTAATTCAATGAGCAATGAAGTGTTTAGAAGGAATAGTTCCCAAGCAGGGCTTACCTGAAAACTCATTAAGGTTTTAAAAGCAAACTCAGTTTGACAAATAAGTACTTGAATCACATTCTTTGGGCCAGCCTGCAAATGCTCCAGAAAAAGATTAAATCAGTAATAAAGACCTAGAATAACTATGGTTACAATTTTGAACAGTTGCTGGGTGCCAGATGCTCACTCCTGTAATCCTTGCTACTCAGGAGGCTGAGATCTGAGGATTGAGGTTCAAACTCTGCCCAGGCAGGAAAGCCTATGAGACTCTTTTATCCAATTAACCACCAAAAAGCCAGACGTAGGGTTGTGGTTCAAGTGGTAGAGTACTAGATTTGAGCAAAGAAAGCTCAGGGATAGTGTCCAGGTCTTGAGGTCAAGTTCCTGGGCTTGTATGAGTGTTAGTGTGTGTGTGTGTGCATGCACACGTGTACACATACACACACACTCATACACAGAGTCACACAAATAGTCATTGGAACAGTCATTGAACAGTCAGTGGAAGCTAGTGGCTCACACTTTGAATCCTAACTACTCAGGAGGCTGAGATCTGAGGATTGCAGTTTGAAGCCAGCCTGGGCAGAAAAATTCCCAACTCTTCTCTCCAATTAACCAATAAGAAGTTCAAGCGGCAGGACTTCATTCTTGAGGGAAACAGCTAAGCAAGAGAGAACAGAAGGCCCTGAATTTAAGTCCCAGCACTGGCACAAAAATAATTGTTTCTGAACAGTCCATTCCATTGCACATGGCATTTTAGGTAATAATAACTGACAGCATTGTTGGGACTATTAAGCCTTTTGTTATAATTAGGAACACGTGCTCATGAGCCTACAAAAGACCATCATCACCACCAACAATTGTAAGCTGGAGGGAATCTTGCTTAGCAAAGTTTTCTCCTAAGCTTTGTACATACATGTTGGCAGTACTGGGGCTTGGGCCTTGTGCTTACTGGGCAAGGCCCCACTGTTTGAGCCAAGCCTTCAGCCCTCTTTCCTCTGGTTATTTATGAGATAGAGTCTCATCTTTTGTTCATCTTGCGCAATGATCCTTCTATTTATGTCTTCTTCCTCTTTCCTCATCAACAACTTCTTCTTCTCCTCCTCCTCCTCCTCCTCCTCCTCCTCCTCCTCCTTCCTCCTCCTTCCTCTTCCTCTTCCTCTTCTTCTTCTTTCTTTTTTCTTCCTTCTTCTTTTGTTGGTTGTGGGGCCTGAACTCTGGGCCTGGGCACTGTCCCTCAGCTCTTCAGTTCAAAGCTAGCACTCTACCACTTGAGCCATAGCATCACTTCCGGCTTTCTCTGTTTATGTGGTGCTGAGGAATCAAACCCAGGGCCTCAGGCATGCAAGGCAAGCGCTCTACCACTGAGCCACCTTCCCAGCCCCTTGTTTTTATTTTAGGGGCTGGGAAGGTGGCTCAGTGGTAGAGCGCTTGCCTTGCATGCCTGAGGCCCTGGGTTCGATTCCTCAGTACCACATAAGCAAAAAGAAAAAGCCAGAAGTGGTGCTGTGGCTCAAGTTGTAGAGCGCTAGCCTTAAGCTGAAGAGCTGAGGGACAGCGTCCAGGCCCAGAGTTCAGGCCCCACGACCGGACCCAAAAAAATAAAAATAAAAAAATAAAAACAACACTCTGCACATTTTTTTTTTGCATCAAATGCTTTGCTGTGGGTATATTTCTAGAAAATAGATTAAGTCCAAGGACGTGAATGTATGCATGTATGTACGTACGTACGTATGTATGTATGTATGTATGCAAGTATTTATTTATTTATTGTGCTGGCACGGGGGCTTGAACTCAAGGCCTGGAACTTGCTTTTTTTTTTTTTTTCACTCAAGAGTCTACCCTTTGAGCCACACCTCTACTTCTGGACATAATTATTTTATAAAGGCTCATGCCTGTAATCCTAGCTACTCAGGAGGCTGAGATCTGAGGGCTGTGGTTCAAAGCCATTATGGGCAGGAAACTCTGTGAGACTTTTATCTCCAATGAACCACTGGAGAAAACCAGAAGTGGCACTGTAGCTCAAAGTGGTAGAGCACTAGCCTTGAGCAAAAAGAGCTCCGTGACAGCACCTAGGCCCTGAGTTCAAGTCCCATGACAGACAAAAAAAAAAAGGTTTTCATATATATTATAGAATTGTTTTGCAAAAGAGCTTTGACAATTAATGTTCCTGCTGTCTTCCAAGTGACTTTTCTAGCAGAAGGTTTAAGTTAAAGATGGGAGCAAGGTCCAGTGCTTAACTTGGAGGCCCCCAGTGGTTGTTTTGAGGGCAGTGAGGGGCAGGGGAGGAGTGAGAACTGATGTGTAGGGTTCTTTAGTATGGACACCACTGTGCCATTCACTGGCATATGTGAGGAAAAGAGGCTTCTGTGGGTTGATGAGGGCTTCAGGTTCAAGAAGGCACCTGACTTTGTAGTTGCTTCTGCTCTTGCCTATGTGATTAAGTCTCACACATCCTGACAGACTCACTTTAGAGGGTAGCTGTGCAGAAAGGCCTTCTTGCTGACTCTCCTCTCTCTAATGAATCACAGCACTCACAGCACAAACTGGCTACTTTTTTTTTTTTTTAATTTTACGTCAGTCCTAGGGCTTGAATTCAAGGTCTGGGCACTGTCCCTGAGCTCTTTTTGCTCAAGGCTAGGAGCGCTCTACCACTCTGAGCCACAGCACTTCTTCCGGTGTTTTGGTGATTGTTTGGAGATAGAGTCTCATGAACTGTCCTGCCCCAGCTGGCTTTGAACTGTGATCCTCAGATCTCAGTCTTCTGAGTAGCTAAGATTCCAGGTATGAGCCACTAGTGCCCTGCCATGCTGCCTATTTTTTTGTGCTTTTATGTCCCTCTTAGTAGATTGTTCCAAATTGCTTGAGGAGATGGACTATGTGCTTCACTTCTGATCCCCAGTCCCTAACTCACTACTGATATTTACCAAATGTTCACAATACTTATTTCCATTCATGCCTCTGCTTGAGGGGGTGGGGTGGGGTCATTTTACGTGATGTAACTCTACCATAAAACCTGGAGGTTATTTCAAAGAAATCTTTTCTATTACCTCACTTAAATCTCATTAGCTTCTCTTAATCTCCTCAAATTTTAGGGAAGAAATTGTTTGCCAAATTGCTAGGAGAGAGCCATGGAAATTCTTTAAAAATTGACATTCGAGCTTAAATGATGTCTTGGGTGACTGTGTTCATAAGTACTTGAGTATCCTGGGATTTCATCTTCATAGGAAGCTCGCCATTTTGGCTGGTATTCTTTTTTAGAAATGTTCTTGTTAGGCACGTAGAAATCAATCTTAGCTTTATGGTAAGTCGTCTTTGTAAAATCTCTTTTCGTGTTTCACTCCTTGACAAATGTACGTAGCATGTTCATTATCTCTTTGTTTCCCCATGATCTCAAAGATGATTTGGAGTGGCTGAGATTAGTGTGTTGCACTAATCCTCTTTCCCACAGGGCACAGCCTTGGGTGGGGAGGGGGCTCAGGGCAGTGAGGTTCTGAGCCATCTTCCTGTTCAAGTGATGACCTTGCTTTTCCTAATGAGCGGAATAATTCTTCCAAACACTGATGGACCTCTAGTCCTGCCCAAATGTCGCATGAAGGATTTGCTTTCTTGGAAAAAGTTCCTCCCTTCTTGTATTAACTGACCATTTTATGATTCTCAGCTTAGATCAAGTTCTGGTGGATATTGCATTTCATTAGCACCCCAGTCTAGGGCCGTGCTGTGTCTACTTACAATTTCCGTTCTAATTATTGCGAAATGATTTATTTAAATCATTGCAGTTGGCATTTGACATGGAACACAAATATTGTTTTTTCTTTTATTTTGTTTAATTTTTCCCCCTCCCTTGGAGAAAAGAATCAAAAGAAATTAAAACCTCTTTTTTTTTTTTTTCTTTTCCATCTCCCTCTTCTTTCTGGTCCAGGAACATTTGAGATTATCATTACAGCTGGGTCATTTCTAACCCAGCCAATGCAATTGTTAAATTTGTGGTTTCTAGCAGATTTGCAGTTTGGCTTTTCATCTTTGACTAATGACCGCTCTTAGGCCTTTGTGGCATATTCATTTTCCTAACATTTTAAATAAATAGTGAGATGTCATGGAAACCAGAGCTGGCTTTTTTTCTTGTTCTCTGTGTGGGTCTATTTTGGTTGTTTTTCTTCAACGATGATTTCAATGGCTGTTTAGGAGTGTGAAATAGATATTACGTTTTTAAAGCTTTTCATGCACATTCTGCCTGGGTCATGATCATGAGCAGATCACACAGAGGTCGAGGAACCTCCTAAAGAACACTCATTGAGATTGTAGGGGAAAACTAGCTATTTCCTTTGCTTGCTCATTTATGCATTGCTCCAGTGAGCTCTGATGAGAACCTATTGTGTGCAGGTGCTAACACATACCAAAGCATACCTTGATTACTACCTGGGTCTGGGACCCATGGCTCACACCTGTGATCCTAGCTACTCTAGAGACTGAGATCTGAGGATTGTGGTTTGAAGTCAGTCCAGGCAGGAAAATCCATGAGTCTCTTATCTCCAATTAACCAGCAAAAAGCCAGAAGTGCAACTGTGGCTCAAGTGGTAGAACATCAGCTTTGGAAAACAACAACAACAACAAACCAACAGCTAAAGGATAGCACCTAGGCCCTGAGTTCAAGCTCTAGTATTGGTACTCATATGCACGCACCTACCTACACACACTCTCTTATACACACAAGTAATGCTACTGCAGTTCCCATCTAACAGATGGGAAGACTGAAATTGGAGGGACAAAAGAATATCAGCATGGCATGGATGTGAAGGGGTTCCAGACCTCAGAGTCTTTATACCACACTGCCTGGCAGATGGGCAGGTGAGAAGGAAACTGTGGGTTTCCTTCAGTGCCACTTCCAGAGAATAGTTCAACACCTAAAGCTATGTGCTGGGGAGCTGGGAGCTGAGTCTCTGTACCAAAGACTCCCCAGACAAGGCAGGACTAGGCCTCAACTTCACAAAGACATCATACAAACAGCAGAGAAGTAATTGCTGTATCCCACAAGAAGTCTTCTCATCACTCACACCTTCCCCGAGTGGTCCCCAAGAGCCACTGCAGGGGTACCGTACCATGTTTTGATGAGTTAAATGAACATGGTAACCAAACAAATCAAACTGCATGTAGGAAAGAAAATGTTCAGGAAAGTTGGACACTTCATAATTTAATCCATTGCCCCTTCCCTTCCCTTCCAATTTTTAAAAAAAGCTTGTTTGTTTCGTGAGGCAGAGGTTCACTGTGTAGCCTAGACTGATGTTGAACCTGTGACAGGATCATTGTGTTTTAGCCTCTCAAGTGCTGGCATTACAGGTGTGTTCCACTTCTGGCTTTTTTAACAGTAGAGAAGAATCTTGCCAGTTTGTCTGCCTGTATTTATTTGTCTGCCCGGGCTGGCTCTGAACTGTGGTACTCAGATCTCAGACTCCTTAATAGCTAGGATTAGAAGGGTAAGACACTGGTACACTCAGAGTTTTTTTTTTTGGCATGTGACTATATTTATTATAGGATGTAGAATTTCTAGCAGGACATTCTAGACACATTAAAAATTTTAAGTTTTAGCCAGGTACCGGCGGCTCACGACTGTAATCCTAGCTACTCAGGAGGCTGAGATCTGAGGATGGTGATTCAAAACCAGCCTGGGCAGGAAAGTCCATGAAACTCTTATCTCCAATAAACCACCAGAAAGCCAGAAGTGGCGCTGTGGCTCAAGTGGCAGAGCGCTTGCCTTGAGCTGAAGAGCTGAGGGACAGAGCTCAGGCCCAGAGTTCAAGCCCCACGACTGACAAAAATAAAATAAAAAAAATTAAGTGTTAAACTAACTTTTTGAAAAAGTTCTTTTTCCTTCAAGCCATAGGAAAGTTGTCATGGTTTAAGTTTTTTTTTTTTTTCCTGATATAGACCCATGCCAAAATAATTTATGATGGTCAGAAATACTGTCCAGCTGCCTCCTGTGTGGCCTTGTGAGAATGAGGGCCAGCTTCTTATGGAATCATGCTACACATGGCCCCAGTGCCTTGCTTATCTTGGCATAACATTTTCAAAGTTCCACTGATAGTGGACAGTGGAATCTGGTGACACAGGAACAAGAGGTCAAGTGACACCTTATGGCAAGACCAGCAAAGCTCCTTTCTGGGGACTTTCCCTCCAGCAGGAGAGAGCTAGCCTTCATCAGGGCCCACCACGCTGCTCACTGGAACAGAGAGAGCAGCAAAACCTTTATTGATTTTTTTTTGAGAATGGGAGGCTAACGCTTGGTAATTATCCATCCATTACAAAAGATGATCTGCTTGTGTGCAAACATCTTGGCTTTCAACTTGATGGGCTAATGGGAAGTATCTTAACCCAGGTACGGCAGAGTCCCTTCTGTTGATGGAGTCATCATCTTATGTAAATATTTTGGCCTTATGATAGGGCTGAAAGACTTCCAGAGCTTTGAGAAAGCACAAGGGATAAGTAGGAAAAAAAAATCATATATCTGGTCCAACAGGCCATAGACTGAGTTAACCCTATATTACGGTCCTGGACTAAATACTTCACAGATGATCAGTGTAATGCATCTACATTGGGAGAGCTGAGTAGAGTCTGATTCAAAGGTTCTAAGGGAACACAGTATAAAGAGATAGCTAAGTCCGTGAGACTCATATCTCCAATTAACCAGTGAAAAGCCAGAAGTAGAGCTGTGCCTCAAGTTGTAGAGCACTACTAGCCTTGAGCAAAAAGAGCTAAGGGACAGTGCTTAGGTCCTGATTTCAAGCTCTAGGACCATAACACACATAACACACACACACACACACACACATACAAAGATGCTATAACTTCTATCATTTATTTGAGCTATTTTTCAGATACCCCAGTGAAGAGAGTTTTTCAGGAAAGGTGGTCTTTAAGATTTTACAAAGTAGGCTGGGCACTGGTGGCCCACGTCTGTAATCCCAATTACTCAGGAGGCTGAGATTTTAGGATTGCCTTTGTAAGCCAGCTCAGGCAGAAAAGGCCGGGAGACTCTTATTGCCACCTAAAACCCAGAAACGGAGCTGTGGCTCAAAGTGGTAAGAAGACTAGCCTTGAGCCCAGGCCCAGAGTTCAAGCCCCATGACTGACAGAAAAAAAAGAGAAGGATTTGACAAAGTAACCTGGGCAACTGTGATCATAACCCCCATAGCAGTCAGAGGTATTATCTGCATGGAAGCCAGTGGGAAACCAATACTGTATTACTGCTAAGCTATATGACCTTCAAAATTAGAGATTTTAAATCAGTCAAGAGCCAGTGAAGGGGCTGGGAAGGTGGCTCAGTGGTAGAGCGCTTGCCTTGCATGCCTGAGGCCCTGAGTTCAATTCCTCAGCACCACATAAGCAGAAAGAAAAAAGCTGGAAGTGGTGTTGTGGCTCAAGTGGTAGAGTGCTAGCCTTGAGCTGAAGAACTGAGGGACAGCCCCCAGGCCCAGAGTTCAGGCCCCACGACCGGACCCCCAAAAAAAAAAAAAAAAGAGCCAGTGAAGCTGAAGGGCTTATTTAGGTCTTTCTTTGATAATACTTCCTCTTTGTCCTTGTTTGTCATGTGGGGGGCTATCCTGAACCCCACTGGTTTTAGCTTGGTCTAGTCTGTAAATGTTCTGGCTTTCTGTCTAATCTGGTATTTTATGAGAATGCTATTGTGAGAATATGAAGGCGGAAGCAGAAGGAAACACACATCATGCTCTAAAAGCAACAAGTTCTTTTGTGCTGGTCCCTACCTGTTTCATAATCTAACAAAACTTCATGCTTTTACATTGTCATATAATATTCCATTGTAAATAGGTCTCACAGCGGATCCATTTGTATATGTAAGGACAATTGTATCTTTTTTGGGTAGGATCCCCATACAAGATTCTAATTTTTTTCGTCTCTTGCACAATTTCCGGTAGTACAATTGCTTGTAGTACAAACTCTATGTGGAACATTTGGAGACTGGTCCTGACTATGTTTTACAAAATACCTCTCTAGTGTTATGGTTAATAACACTTTTTTTTTTTTTATTTTTGCCAGTACTGGGGCTTGAGCTCAGGGGCTGGGCACTGTCCCTAAGCTTTTTTTGCTCAAGGCGAGCACTCTACCATTTGAGCCACAGTTCCACTTTTGGCTTTTTCTGTTCTTGTGGTACTGAGGAATTGAACCCAGGGCTTCATGCATGCAAAGCACTCTACCACTAAGCTACATTCTCAGTCTAATACCACTTTTTGTTTTATTGTTATTTCATTTGATATTACTATAGAGAAGCTAGCTTTCTTCTGACTGTATCTTACCTTTTTGAAAAAATAATTTTTTTATCATAAATCTATGTGGCAATAGGTACTGTGTAATATTAGTTAATTGTTTTGATGGTGATACTGGGGCTTGACCTCATGGCTTTGAACTCTTGCTTGCTTATTCATTACTGGTACTCTACTACTTGAGCCACCCCTCCCATCCAGCATTTTGCTGGTTAATTGGAGATGCAACCTCACAGACATTTCAGCCCCGGCTGGCTTAATCCTTGATCCTTACTCCTTCAGGTCTCAGCCTCCTAAGTATTTAGGTTACAGGTGTACGTATGTCTTTGTGCTTAGTGTTTCAGACTTGTTCGTTGAGTTCGCTTGTGGGTAGGTCTGCCTGCTCTCTCCCATTTAGAGACATGGACATGGTGAGTATTTTCTCCTCCCAACTCTCCTCCCTCCCTTGTCCAGGCTGCGTCCTGTGTCAGGAAGCAGAGCCACCCTCTCACAATGGGCTGAGTCTCCTCACAGTGCCTTTGTCCCTACAGGAGTACATGTACTACCTGCTGGTGCTGGAGCACCAGGCTGAGGAGCAATTCCTGGAGCACTGGCTGAACCCTTTCTGCAAGCCTCACTGTGACAGGAACAGGGTGCACCCTGTGTAAGGGGCCTGGGGCCCACTTGGTATGTCCCAGAGTTTCATGGTGTGTGTGTGTGTGTGTGTGTGTGTGTGTGTGTGTGGCACATGGGCTAGAAAACCTTCTGGGATGGAGGGGGTGGAGCTAGTGCAGCTGCATATAACTTGTGGGATGGTAAGAACAAAGTAGGAAAACCAGGCAGGGGTAGCGCAGTCACCACGTGATCCCAAATAGGGACTGGAGGGGACCCTATGTGCCAGTTAGAAAATATCATCCTGGAAGCTGGATCTGGATGGTTGAGACTTGGGTCTCTCCAAGGGGGATCAGCACCTGTGGGCTTTACCTGCCTATGGCATCCACCACAACCATCAGCATTGTCACCCCCTAGCTTTTCCACTGCAGCGTGTGTTCCCTACCCCGTCCTCCCTTTCTCTGGGCTTGTCGTACCGCCCAGCAGGCCGCTTGCAGCAGGTAGTTCAATATGCCCAGCACCCCCCTCCCACCCTGCCCATGTTCTTCGATGAGGGAGATTGTTTCCTCCCAACTGTCCACCTGTAGGTCCCATCTCCTTCCTCCCTTCCCCAATCCTACACAACAAGGTAGTAAAATCCCATCTGAGGTTCAGTCCCAGAGAATTTCATCCGTCCCTGCAACTTTTATGGACCAAACAGGACAGGCATAATCGGGTGGTTTATTAACTGTGTTAAGGGTGATGTGCTATCTTTGTGGCTGTTGACTTTGTGCTACTGTGATTTGGCATAGAGACATTCCCTCTCAGTATTACTGTGCAATTTCCAGGGTGTGAGCACATGCATTCTCTAGTCTTACTTCATTCGGGCATTTATCTTAACCCTTTGTGTGTGTGTGTGCAGATGGATGCCAGTCCTGGGGTTTGAGCTCAGGGTCTGGGTACTTTCCTTTAACCTTTTTTCCCCCTCAAGGCTAGTGTTCTACCACTTGAGCCATAGCTCTACTTCCAACTTTTTGTGGCTAATTGGAGATAAGAATCTCATTGACTTTCCTGGTTGGGTTGGCTTCAATCCTCAGATCTCAGCCTCCTAGGTCAATAATATTACAGGTGTGAGCCCCATCATTTGGCTCATGCCATGATATATTCTTTTTCTTTTCCAGCAAGCAAGGACCTGGGGAACAATGCTTCTTCTTCCATTTGACTTCAAATCGCCAAAGCAGATGTCTTCAGACCTGATGATTGGCAGCTCCTGTGGACGTGCCAAAGGAGAAAGATACAAATATTGATTCTGCTTCATTCTGCCAACCTGCATAAATCATGACAACTAAGCATTTAAAAGCAGAGAGTTCTCAAAGGTCTTCCTGCTAGTTTGCTAGTGTGGGCAGAATCAGCATTCCTGGGGTTGATGAATCTGGGACCTATTGATTACCTGCCTTTTCCTTTTCTTTTTCTGCATTAATAAAAATAGTGTTAAATCTGCTCTCTGTGGCATCTCTTTTCCAGAAGAAGAGATGTGGAGACTTTTCCCCTCCTTTGTTTATATTAGTAAATCTAGTATCAGAAAACTTACCTTTGAATACATGAATGGATGAAAACATGAATACCTAGCAATTTTGTATTAATTCAGGTCATTTTTTTTTTGTTGGTTGTGGGTCTGGGCTGGGTGTTCTCCCTGGGCTCTTCATCTCAAGGCAAGTGTTCTACCACTTGAGCCACAGTTCCACTTCTGGTTTTCTGGTGGTTAATTGGAGATAAGACTCTTATGGGCTTTCCTGCTCTAGCTGGCTTTGAACCATTATCCTCAGATCTTAGCCTCCCAAGTAGCTAGGATCACAGGTGTGAGCCACCAGCGCTCAGCCAGGCCATTTTTAAAAGAATAGATTTATCACTGGATGTCAGCGGCCCATACCTGTACTTCTACCTATTGAGGAGGCTGAGATTTGAGGGTTCCAGTCTGAAGCCATCTGGGACAGGGAAGTCTGTGACATTCTCATCTTCACTTAACCACCAAAAAGCTGCAAGTGGAGTTGTGACTCAATTGGGAGACCACCAGCTTTGAGCAAAAAAGCTAAAGGATAGTGCCCAGACCCCAAGTTCCCAAGTTCAAGCCTCAGGAGTCACACACACACACACACACACACACACACACACACACACACACACACACACACGGAGAGTAGATTTGCCCAAGTCTAGCTCTGAAAATACATAACCCAACACCAGACCTTTTTACCCTAGTGTTCTAGCCAAGGAGATGTTTCTTGTGGATAGTGGCATGTTGCCCCATATCCAGTGTCCCTCATGGATTAAACATCAATGACCAACAAAAGCAGATATTCAGAGGGCCAGGAAATGTGACTGAATGGTTTTAAGGAAAAGAACATCTGGCACCCTCCCCAAAGGGTAAGATAGGTGTTCATGAGTACAGAGGATCTGTCTCCAGGCAGGATGGTGGTGGGGGTAAGTCTAGGGAGAATATTACAGAACCTCTCCTAATAATGTGACAGGGATGCAAAAGTTGTCAGAGAGAAAATAAAGTTGCTTGTGTCACCCTACCAAAAAAAAAAAAAAAGTAAATAAATCTGAGAGATTGCCAGAGCTGGCTCATACCTGTAATCCTAGCTACTCAGGAGACTGAGATCTGAGGATCACAGTTCAAAGCCAGCCAGGGCAGGAAAGTCCATGAGACTCTTATCTCCAATTAACCACCAGAAAACTGGAAGTGGCGCTGTGGCTCAAAGTGATGGAGCATTATCTTTGAGGGGAAAAGCTCAGGGACAGCACTGAAAAACTTGGAAAGTTGAGCCGGGCGCTGGTGGCTCACGCCTGTAATCCTAGCTACTCAGGAGGCTGAGATCTGAGGATCGCCGTTCAAAGCCAGCCCTGGCAGGAGAGACCGTGAGACTCCTATCTCCAATAAACTACCAGAAAACCGGAAGTGGCGCTGTAGCTCAAGTGGTAGAGCGCTAGCCTTTAGCTGAAGAGCTGAGGGACAACGCCCAGGCACAGAGTTCAAGCCCCACAACCGACAAAAAAAAAAAAAAAAAGTACAACATTTCTACTGGGGCTTGATCTCAGGGTGTGGGTGCTGTCCCTGAACTTATTTTGCTCAAAGTTTGTGCTCTACCACTTGAGCCCCTCAGCTCCACTTTTGGCTTTTTGCGGGTTCATTGGAGATAAGAGTCTCACAGACATTCCTGCCTGGGCTGGCTTTGAACCACAATCCTTAGATCTCTGCCTACTGAGTAACTAGGATTACCAGTATGAGCCAACCAACGTCTCGCTTGAAATTGTCCGTTTAAGATTTTTGTTATCTTTGTGGAGACAAATGGAGAGCTGATGATTTTGTAGAGATGGGGACAGATTACTGAGGGGTAGAATCTTGGACAAGTTATGGAACCTGCTCTGCCTCTGTACTACAGGGTGGCCAGGAAGCTACAATGACTTAGAGTGGGTTAAGCTTTCAGAACGTTGCCTGGCTCAGGGTGGCTTCATGCCATGCAATAAATAGCCCTTGTTAGACACAAGAGACATGAGATGAAGCTAGTAATGGTAACCACACAAGAAGCTACCAGAGATTAATAACTGCTGGTACATAAAACACTGATGCAATAGAGGTTGCCTGGAAGGCTATTTTAGGTTGGGTGGACAGGGAAGGCTTTTCGGAGGAGGTGATACTTGAGCTGACACCGGAATGACAGGAAGGAGCCAGCTGCCTGAAGATCCAGTACAGGAAGGGCATTCTAGTCTGAGGGGCTGGTTGGGGCAAAGGTCTGCAGGCAGGAACAACCTGGCCAGGCCATGGAATTGCTATAAGAGAAGCTTGGATGGGGGACAAGGAGGCTGGACTTCCCTTGGGTGAGGGTCCTGGCTGACAGTGACAGCATGGGAAGGCAGCCACTTTGGAGTCAGGAAGCCAAGGATGTGTGGCTCTGTGCTTCTTAGTTAGGAAACTTGAGACAAGGTCTGAGCCTGCTTGGAATGGACCTCTGTTTTCTCATTAAAACCTCGTAACATTGAGCTGCTTCTATTCACTTTATGAGGCTACTATAAAACTCCAATGAAGCCTGGTGCTGGTAGCTCATACCTGTATAATTCTAGCTACTCAGGAGGTTGAGATCTGAGGATCACAGTTTAAAGCCAGCCTGAACAGAAAAGTCCATGAGGCTCATCTCTAATCAACCAGCAGAAAGCTGGAAGTAGAGTTGTGGCCCAAGTTGATAGAGTGCTAGCCTTGATCACAAAAAAAGCTCAGGGACAGTACCCAGGTCCTGAGTTCAAGTACCAGGCCAGGCACAAAAAATTCCAAAAACTAAAGCAAAACTCCAATGAAGTAAATACAAGAAGAGTACACACTTCAGGTGGTATAAGCCACAGTTGTATGCTGTGGGGCTCACATGTGACAGGGTGGCTATTTGTCTCATGGTAGCCATAAAAGTGAGCAAGCAGCAACGGTGTGTTTGAAAAGTCCCTCTCGCAGGATTGTCCTGCAGAACAGAGCCTTGCTTCCTCCTTGACTCACCTGTGGTTCATGCAGCTCAGCCCTCCTCTTGCTTTTGGATCTTCAAGGTCCATCCAATTGAGCTGTGATTGAGCATTCATTACTATGTGCCAGGCACCAGACTCTGAAGGGGAAGACTCTGGATCCTCAAGGAGCTCACTGCCACCTTGGCCACAAACTTTCTTCTTTTGTTTCCTCCAGCCTTGCTGTGGTCCTTCATTTTTAGGAATGAGGAGGTACACAGAGCAGAGTGTGGAGTCTGGAACACACCCAAGAGCAGCATGGTGGTCTCTTGGGTAATCATGGTATACACAACTCAGTACAGTGGCCAAGAGTCCTTTGAAACCAGATGGCCTGGGTTTAACACTAGTCTTTTGCTCACTAGATTTGTAACCTCTCCGTGCCCCAGTTTGCCTATCTATGAAATGGAAGTTACAGTTCTAACTGCATAGGGTGGTGATATGATTGCACATAAGGAGTTTTATGATAGGTAAAGGAGCTGGTAAGAGAAGTACATGTAAACACTGGCTTACTAAAAATCAGTAAGAAGCTGGGTGCTGGTGGCTCATGCCTATAGTCCTACTTACTCAGGAGGCTAAGGTTTGAGGATCACAGTCTGAAGCCTGGTTTCCGAGCAGGAAAGTGTGGAAGATTCTTTTTTTGTTGTTTGTTTGTTTTGTTTTTGGGTCCGGTTGTGGGCCTGAACTCTGGGCCTGGGCGCTGTCCCTCAGCTCTTCAGCTCAAGGCTAGCGCTCTACCACTTGAGCCACAGCGCCACTTCCGGCTTTTTTTCTTTTTTTTTTTTTGCTTATGTGGTGCTGAGGAATCGAACTCAGGGCCTCATGCATGCAAGGCAAGCGCTGTACCACTGAGCCACCTTCCCAGCCCCTGGAAGATTCTTATCTCCAATAAACCACTAGAAAACTGGGTGTGGTGCTGTGGCTCGAAGTGGTAGAGAGCTAGCCTTCAGACCAAGATTTCTCAGGGACAGCGCCCAGGCCCTGAATCCAAGCTTGATTCCCCTCCCCCCAAAAAAAATCAATAAGAAAATTAAGTTAAATGCCTGTGGCTACTCAGGAGGCTGAGATTTGAGGATCGAAGCTAGTGCTAGCAGGAAAGTCTGTGAGACTCTTATGTCTAATTGACCACCAAAAAGCAGGAAGTAGAGGTGTATCTCAAGTGATAGAGCGCTAGCCTTGAATGAAATAGCTAAGGGACGGTGTCCAGGCCGAGTTCAAGTCCTAGTACTGGTGCACACATGTCTGCACACACACGTGCATGTGCACACACACACACACATCAATAAGAACATTAGCTTGACCTGGGAAAGACACTTGACAGGTTTCCAAATCTGTGAGCTGGGGCACACCCTAGGCACAGTGGTGGGCAGGGCGGTGCTAGGCTGGGACATGATCTTTCCCATCAACTCATGAATGGAGAAACCTGCCTTAGCTGAATCTTTTGCCTAAATAGCTTTAGCAAATTGTTTAATGCATCTAGAGAAGAAGAGGAAAAATGGCTTCTCTGGCTTGGAAGGGAAAGCAGACAACGGTCACTGTGCATGCATGTACCAGGGCTGGCAAATGGAGAGGCAGCACCGGACACACCACTTCTCGGTCCACACTGCCATCCTTGGTCCCAGCCAAGACCCAAGTTTTACTGAGCTGCGAGGCCAGGCCCGCAGGTCTGCGAAGTCCTGGCCGGCCACTAGGGGTCAGTGTGTCTCCGCCGCAGGCGCCCAGGGGCAGCTCACCTGATTGCCGCCAGAGCCCGCAGGACAGTTCTGCAACATGTCCTGCCTGGCACGAAGGACTAAATAAACAAACAAATAACAATAATAATAATACATGAATGCATTTTTCCCCATAACGGATACAGGAGCCCGGACGACCTACACAACAAGTCCACTCTCTTTTGCAGGGGAATGCAGACGGTACATCTCTGCATTCCTGGGCAGAGGGAATAAGGATCCAATTGTG